CCGGCCCCCTCCGCATACTCCCGGCACAAAACAAGAAAAAACACCATCGAAGAAGCCACAAAGACGGCAAGAATCAAACTGAACTCAATATTCACCAATGATTTTGCTCTGTGCAGCGCTTCCTCGCTCCCGCACCGAACCACCGTGTGTCCTTCCTCTTCATTAATGAAACACCCTCTGGCGATCAGCCCCGGCGTCCACAACGCGAATCCCATCACCACAAACCAAATCCCCTGCAAAGCAATACTCGCCGATCTGACAAACCCTACCGCGAAGCTACACGGGTGGCTGATGCCCATGATGGTGGTGATAAGCGAGACGGCTACTACGAGCTGGAGGAGTGAATGATACTGCCCTTCCACCCCCATGTGGTCGGAGGAATGGAGGTGGAAGAGGAAGAGCTGCTGGGCGAAGGCGGCAGAGGCGGCTAGGATTGTGAGCGGCTCGGCAGCAGGGCGGGGGGATCGGGCCGAATCGAAGATTAGGGCGAAGAGAGAGTAGAGTAGAAAGGTGAGGGAGATGGAAGAATGTTCGAAGTTGTGGAGATGGTTGGAGGGGATGGTTAGATCGGGGTCGAGGGGTTGATGGCGTTCGGTACCGATGAAGAGTTCCATGGTGATGGAGACGGAGCAGGCGAGGGAGATGAAGAGGAGTTCGAGGTGGCGGAGCTTGGGGAAGGGGAACCAGAGCAGGGAGCGGTATGATTTGGGGTGGAGAGAGAAGAGTTTAATGTGGTTGAAGAGGTGCCATATGCCGATGAAGAGGAAGCCGAATCCGGGGGCGACATGGCCCAATAGGGTTCCCATGATTTGATTAATTGGCTGATTGGGGATTGGGGATTGGGGATCGGGTTGAAGGTGACTCGCAAGGCAAAATGAGGTGTTAGGGATTTAAAGGGGGAATGGAGGGAAAGAAGAAAGATGAGTTGGTGAGGAGTTGCAGGGGACGAGGTAAACCAAATAGATGGCCCAGATTCTCTCTAGAGAGTTCGGAGGAGAAGGATTGACTTAGAGGATTTTAATTTTTATTTTAAATGTTTTTTATTCGAAGATTGGTTTTTTCGGTTGTGGAAACATAATAAATATTGGTAAAC